TCAGAGTCACGGAACGAATTAAGTTCGTAAACCAAGGTTCCACTGTATTTCAAATTTGGCCACCGCCCATCTCACTGGGAAGTGACTCTGGATGCAGCACTGTCTGGATCTTTGCTTCGGTTCCTCCAGGGAAGCCTCCAGCCAATGTCTCCCATGGGAGCAGGAAACAGCAACTCTCCACTCCAATGGCCCAGCACACTTATTTTTCCCCCTCTCCTTCTGCTGGCTCACACCAGCTCAGCCGCCACCAGCCACATAGACAATCCACTGGATTCTTGATTTTCTATTTTTATCCTAAATCATTAGTCAGTATTCTGTAAGCCATTTTTGTTTTCCTTAAGAGATTTTGTTTTCCTTAAGAGATTTTGACAATGCTCTGGGTCCCTTGCACTTTATGATGTGCCTGGGTGGTGCCACTGAATAGGACTGGATTGTGTGGTAAAGGTGTGCCTCAAAAAATTGAAGGGACAATCACAAGGTATGAAGCAGCAAGAAAAATCATATTCACTAAACCAATAATAAAGCAGAGCCAGTTTGGTGTAGTGGTTAAGGCATCAGGCTAGAAACCAGGAGACTGTGAGTTCTAGTCCTGCTTTAGATAGAAAAGCCAGCTGGGTGACCTTGGGCCAGTCACTCTCTCTCAGCCCTGGGAAGGAGGAAATGGCATTTCTGAATATGCTGCCAAAAAAACTGCAGGGACTTGTCCAGGAGTCAGCACTGACTCAAAGGCACAAACACACACACACACATACACACACAATAAACAAGAGAAAAGCAAAATAGAAAATCATTTGGGTTAATTTTCATTTTGGCTGGGACCAAATGGCTCCTTAAAAAGCTTGGTTAACATTCAGCACAGCACTGGGTGTAAGGGGGGGTCTCTCTTCGCAGTGCATTTGCTAAAACTAGCACCACCACTGAGAAGGATTGCTCAATCCCTCATTAAGCCCAGCCAACCAGAGATGATGTTGAGCAGGATATATAAGGAGAAAGTAGCCAGTTGAATACCCAGGTCCCAACTGTGGCATATTTGGGAATATTTATTACTGTTATATGTATTACGCCAAGGTGTAGTAATTGTTCAGAATGCAACATGAGTTGAATTCCACTGTAAATCCTACATGTACTTGATTCCAACTCTTAGGAGAGCATTTGGTAAAAATCTGTTTGCATAGCATGCTGAAAACTAAATCTAGCCTATAAACATGGGTTTATATAGCCAGCAGATCACACTAGAACAAGTGTTTTTCCAATATTTTTACATTAGTGTGCAGACCAGACAAATTGTTCTAATCTGTGAAACATCAGTTGTCTTAACCAGCACAATTCCAAACTTCCTAACAATTATTGCTAAAACTAACCATTAACATTTATTTTAAATTGAATGTGGGTTAGTAGTGACTGATAAATTTGTTGTTATAGCATAATCGCTTCAATTTTCAAAATGAATGAAGGCCATTTTGGGGAGGAAAAAAAAAAAGCAAAATTTGTCTTTGGTCTTGATATCAATTTGTATACCATGACTATTCGTAAAATTACAACTGAACATAATATGTTTATATTTCAGTTATTGGTTACGGCTTTCCTGGGATTAGTTGTAGGTGCCATATTCTTTGGTGTAACAAATGATGCTAAAGGTCTGCAGAATAGGTGAGTCCTCTGGGGATAATAGCATGATCAAATGTGTGATGCTTGTTTCGAATGCAAATTCCATCAGTGAGAACCTGAAATAAAGTGAAACTTTATTTTAACTGACTAATGGAAGTGAGGAAGTGTCCATTATACCCAAATGTATGGTGAGTTGGACAGTAGGACCTTACAAGAGATTTACACTATTTTGTGTGATGATTTATCATTATGTAGTTTTTTTGCATAATGGCACAAATGATACTTGCTACTTTGCATAATACAGTTATTACAAAAATGGCTCAAATTGCAATGGAGGTTTGATCTGCTGCGTGCAAAATTGTTTTCATCAAGGTCTAATAAGTTGAGGCTTCACTGCACAGTTTTGTAATTTGCAAAGTCTTTGAAAATATTGGCTAGTCTGTTTGGACTTTTGATACCTTGTTATTTCTTAAGCACTATTTCAGAGAGAGCGCTTTAATTCAGCTATGGAAAAGGCTTGAAATACTTGAAATATGGTGGTGCCTTTAGTTGGAGATGGTGCAATCGTTACTTCTGCCATCTTGAGCATTTAAAAGCGAGTGCTTGTAAACACCAAAAAGCACCTTCCAACAAAATCCATATAAAATCCCAAGGTTTTCCAGAAGTAGAAAGAATCCATTAGAAAGAAACTATAAAATGAAATGAAGTTCCATGGAATGTGCTAATTGGCCACAGAAAGTGGGCTGGGATAGGAATGGAAAAGAAGTGGAAGCAAGAATGGAAAGAAGTTGCCATGAGAACTTTTTAAAAAGTCCAATAAAGAATGAGTATGCTCTATGGTTGCTGAATTATGGATGTTGGTGGTGGAAAGAAATGGAAAATCAGTGTATGTGGGTGATGTAATCTGGAAGACCACCAACAAAGTGGTAGGAACTTTAGACAGGAACCCTGGCACTGCAGCATTTCATTGCAGGTCTCACTTTATAACAGCTTTTTAGTTTTGCTGGAAGCACCAGTGATAGAAGGGGTCAGCCTTCGGGGGAGATTCCTATACATAATTTTTATTAAGATTTTTGATTATAATAGTAAAATCTAATACAAGCTAAACTTAAAAAAAATAAAAGAGAATAGGAAGAAGTAAAAAATGCAAGAAAAAAAGAGAAGAAAGAGAAAAGGAAGAATATAATAAAGGAAGAAAAAGAAATATATAAAGAAGTTACTTCCAACTTTCATCACAAGTATAGACAAATTTAGTGACTCTTCACCCCCTATAAGGTTACAAACATTTATCTCTTTGTACCATATCCCATCTCTTATCTATAATCCATAAATGGAGCCACAAATCCATAAAACATCATCTTTTCAGTCCTGCTGTCAGCAGAAAGTCCATAAAGGGTTGCCAGAATAACTGCATATCTTGTTTTAACCTTAATCAAATAAACCAACTTTATATTCCTTCCTTTTACTTCTAA